GCCTGCCAGGTTAAACCATGACAACTTCCCACAAGGACAAATTTAGCATCCATGCTTTATAAATTGACTCAGTGTCAACAGAGGAAGTACAGAAATGCCAGTGTCCATGATTTAAAATATTATCAATGCAGTGCTACGCACGTTTTTCTGCTTATGAGACTGTAGAAGACTTGCAGTCAGGAGACTTACTGATATCTTATTTCCACGTGATGGCGCACTGGCACCAAAAATGATAGTACCACCCTCCCCCCTCTTTTTACTTGCACAGTAAAGCTCCTGTAACTTAATACTGCTAGTCCCTATTCTTACCTCAGGATGAAAGAAAATTTCAGGTCCAAGGAACCTTTCATAACCGACATCTATAACAAACTTGGTTTTGTTGATCGCATTAATGCCTGTATACTGTTTGATCCATTTTCGAGGATCTCCATCGTACTTGGCAAATTCTTTCACTATGTCAGGGCAAATGTAACAGTATTTCTCCTGTTAAGAAATACCATGCATTAAAAATTGCCAAAATAATTATTCTATCATTGAATTAAAGTATAACACAATCAGAAAACAAAAATATGAGCATTATTACAGATGGAGCTGTTCAACAGATGTTCTCACCCAAATGACTATGGAAGACTCAGGCCTACAAGATGATGCACGTGGCCTAGTTGTTTCAATAAGATTGCACACCGACTCATCTAGATTAGTCTCAAAATGAAAACATCACAACCATTAGGTTTGCAAAAATAAAGAAGTTCAATGGCGAGCTCTCATCGCAAGATCAGACCCACACAATCACCCTACTGATATTACATACATTTATTTTTCATTAAATTAAAAAGCAAATTTTAAACAAATCTAAAGCTTAAAATGCTGATTTAATCTGCGGAACACATTTACTCCAAACAGTCTAGCATGAAGATCTTCTTCCTCTTTCTCCTTCCCCCGCACTTGATTGGATAAACCACCAGAAGTTTGCGTAATTACAATACACTGCCTACATTTGCATTTTTAAGAGAGCCACTGGCAACTTGTTAAAGCCAAAAAATTAGCTCAAAGAGTTTTATTTATGTATTAAGAGATAAAGAAGGGTGTACCTTTATGGCTTTTGCTGTCTCCAGAGATTGTTCAGGAGGAATTCCCACCTCCCTCTCCCTTAGGAGTTGTTGAATAAAGTAAGTAATATCTCTACCTGCAATAGGAATATGTTTGATGCAACTTCCAATTACATAGCCTTCTGCCTATATAGGAGGAGAGAAAAAAAAATATTTAGGGAAAAACCTACTGTGTATCAATGATTAACAGCAAAACTAACATTCATTTTTATAATTGTTTTGATTTTTAATTAAAAGTAAGATCTTGAAACCAAAAAATTATTATAAAAACGTGCAACTCATTGCAAAGGGGATGTTATTTTTATTTAAAAGACCTTGATTACCACATATAAACAGATACTGATTATCTAATAGATACACAAGCGATAGACAAAAAATCTTGCACACATTAGAAGACAAAGTTTGGTCAGATGGTTCCTTTTAGGCGTGATCTGAAAAGCAAACGTAATATAAATAGACCACTCATGTCCTGTTTGAGAGTGAAAAATGAATAGGAAAAAGTATAAAATTTATTAAAATCCTCAGACAAGAAAAATCAAATGAAGTAGTATCGAACGATAAGCACAATAAAAACAAGAAATCTATTTGCCAAATTTTTTTCAGGATGCATTTACTGAAAACACTAGTATTGCTGAGCCAACATTATTTCTTCTCTATTTCTTCTCTTGCCCCCATCCCCCCCCCCCCTTTTTTTTTTTTTTTACACTTTTCAGAGCTTCATATGGTAAATGCTGTTTTTTCCCCAACATTTCCAATATGAAGAAAATATTGAGAAGACCAGGTTAATACCAAAATGCAAGATGAAACTAAAGGGAATCAAATTTTCATTTCTAAAATAACTGATCATTCAAGCATACGATATGCTTCAGAAATACACAAAATGACATCAATAGAACAGATGTCAGTATGCACAGATAATTCTGTATTTTTAACATCCTAACATAATTAAGCCGTTTGAGATCGACTGTGTATATGAACATGCATTTATACATATGAACATGCATTTATACAAGCTCGTAGTTGTTTCCACACAAGCAGAGTTCACTAACTTCTAAAATACAATAAAAACATATAAAAAGCACACGTTGTCAGCTATATTAAAGAATCAAAATGCAGGACATCAAAAAAAGTTAGGATATCTCTTGTCAGACATTGGTGGCATGCAGGAGATCCAAAACCGTGATAAGCATTAATATTACACAGAACTGAGGCATCACAGTAACGGAAGACAAAGTTTTACATAGAAATAACCTTTAAAAGATGCCCAGACGATTCCTTACTGTGACCTTCCTATAGTCTGCAAGCTAAATTAATTGCATAAATAAGTTCACATAACAATATATATACTTTTCAAAACAATTGTAAGGGAGGAAAAAATCCCAAACAACCAAGCAACACTAAAAATTTAAAAATAAAGTTTAGTTTGACACTTCTTACTTAAACAAACCCTGTATTTATCCTATCTGCTGATAATTTCAAACTGCATCCTGCTACATACCACAGGAATTACATGGGTCACTCCATCACCACTATCAATGACAATTCCAGTCAAAGTACGTTCTCCAACCTGCCGTGACGTCCAAGAGGCAGCTAAGGCCAACACTGCCTACATGAGAAAGAGTTTATATTTAGAAACAGGCAGAGTGTGCTAATTTACAATCTCAGAAAATACTGTTTCAAACATTTTAGACATGTGCATACAGAAGACTATACATACAGCAGCTATACTGAACTTTAGAAGTATATATTCACTTTGTTCACCTGAACAGCAATGTAAAGTCCTGGTATGTTAAATGATTCAAACATGATTTCTGCAAGATACTCTCTGTTTTCTGGTGTGTTCAGCGGAGGCTCTGTCTGCAAAAAAAAGTTTTGAAAAAGCACCTCAATAGAGTCGTAATGGTTCATGCATTGGATTAGCTCGGTATGGTAATGAAACTTCTAAAATTCTCAGTGCACTCAAAGTAGAACATTTCAAACAGAATTTAGTTTAAACAAAGTGATTGAAGCTTTTCAAAAACAAAATCCAACCTGCAGTAGCCTGCATCACAAAATGAACAGAATTTAGTTATAATGCAACTTTACAGATTACTTTCCTCCTCCCCCTTTCTCCCACCCCCCGGTTGCTGAAGAAATAAAAGACATATGCAAAGAAAAATCCTCCAACAGAGCTACTTGTGCTTGGAACATTATTTAGCTTTCCTCTTACAAAAATATTTTCTTACCAGTCTCATTAACTCACCATTAAAAAATAGTGATCCTCAGGTTCAGCTCGTAGGTACTTAAAAATGACCTGCTCCATGAATCTCTCCATGAGGTCCCAGTCTTCAACAATACCATGTCGTATAGGCCACTGAAGCAAGAAAACTTGTCAACACTCTAGATCATACAAGGATAAACAAACCCAGAAACAGGAACAGCCTAAGTCCCCAAACCTTTACAACTTCAGCAAGAATCAAAACACCTCATCTCATGGTTACCTTATCAAATCCTCCATTCTAATTTTAATTTATTACTATTTAAA